GGCTATGCGCTAAGTGTTTGTATGGGATATAGAAGGTCTAGGAGGTGGGGTAAATTTATGGATGTTGGGCTGAAGTCTGCAATTAGCATTTTAATGTGTAGCAGTTTTGCCATTGACTCCAGCTGGAGCAGAATCAGGTCCTTGATCTTATTTCCTGGCTGAGCTGTGGAATGTGAAGACAGGAAGCACTGAGCTGAGGTTGGGAGCCTCTCCTGCAGCTCTGTCTCCGCTGTCAGGCCCAAGCGGCTGTGGCAGCAGGTCAGCAGCAGAAGAAAGTTTCCGTACTTTGGGCCTTGCATTCCTTACATTTTTTAACTTCAGGAGCTGGGAGAAGCAAGCCCCCCACCCAAATGTGGAATCTGCAGCAGAACAGAGTGTGGTTGAATGTGCACAGGAGGGGGCAAGTGACAGACAAAGTTAGCGTCCTCTTTTGTGCGCATGTAGTAGTGACTTCCAAATGTGGGCCCAAAGCTCTCTCCACCTTTCTATGATATCGAGTGGCCCAGTGCAGCTGCCTCCTAGTCAGAATAAATGAACAATCAAACCCTGACATGTCAGCTTCCAACCATGATCCTATGCTTCATGATGGTAAATAGGCCCTGGCTTTGTTTGAGCCTGATCCAGGATGTGCATCCCTGGAGGACTTCAGTGGCAGCTTGCGACTGCTGGAGATCTTTGGTGATGGGCAAGGGACTTAGAAGAAGGAAGAAAGAAAACCCCAGAGAGTTCATTTGGGTCACCCACAAAATCAACTCTGATAGGCTTACATTAGGAGAGATCCAGTGATTGGGCTTAGAGGTAGGTATCTCCCACTAGAGTCAGTTAATTAAATTGAGAGGAGGCCCACAGTAAGATTGGCCCTATGAATCACGTGGGCATTTGAGGGCAGTCTCGTTGCTCTAGTACTGGTGCCATTCCAGCCTGGAGAGCAATGGCAGGAGCCTGATCGTTGATAAAGCTCTGCTATTAACCACACAGTCATTTAATTGTGCTCAGATGGGTCCAGACAACAAGGTGGTTCAGACTTCCAGCTTTCATCCTGGCTCTATAGACTAGCACGCTAGGCATTGCTGTGTCTGGCAGAGGTATGCTGATGCAGGTCCAGCGTTGAGAAAAGATCCTAAAAGGCTTCTGAAATTTCAGTGGGACATAGGGTGAGTTTCACCCTTTTGGACACTCCCACTTGAAAGACAGATACCTGCTTGGGTTTTACCCAGGGGGATTTGATGGTACATTGTGAAGAATTGTCTCCTGATACAACTTAGCAGCTCCAAGCCAGAAACTCCCTGATTTCCTTGAGATTTGCATTGCTCGGTCACACTTAACTTCACCTGGCAGTCGCACCTCTTGGCAGGAAGAAATGACGTTGTCCTTGCTGAGCAGGTGCATAATATATTTCGGTCCCTATCTCAACCCCTAGATGCAGCTGTTGGTGCCAAAAAAATCTTTTAAGTTGGCGGAGACTGTACACTATTTTTCTGTTGGTGGCTGACTAATTTTCCAGGTTTGTGTTTCAAAGGTTGTTAGCTGAGTTGTCTTCTCACCCCTCTATAAAGTAAGGAAGTTCACATGTGGGAAACTGAAGCACGATGTGGCAAGTGACTTATTCAGGGCTGCAGAGGGATAAGAACATGGGGAGCCTGGTTCTACTTGGGACATTGCACTGCATCTTCCTGTCAATGGCTAACTGCTGCTGGAAGTATTTGATTCCCACTTATAGGTCTGTGAGGGTTTCTGTTAAAGTCAAATTTGCCAAGAGCCTCAAGTTTGTTCTTACACCTGGGAAGGCGAATGCTGAAGCCTGTTGGTAATGTGGGGAGCTGGGCTAGTTTCTGCTCATAGTCAAAGCCCGAGCATAGGTGGCCTAGCAGTTTAGTATGGTGTGGACACGCCAGTGTCTGTGGCGTGGCCAGTGGCACCCAAGGGCTGCCTTTGGTTCCCCAGCGTGATTGACCTGTTGCTCATTTATTGAGGTCAACTGAGGGCATCTCAACCACTCTGGAAAGACAGTTATGCCCTCAACCAGCTGGGGACCTCTAAAATTCCCTTTGCTGCTTCTTGGACCACAGATTCATATCAGCCTGACAACTTGTGCCTCCAAATGCCATGAAACTTGGTCTTCGTTGCTTAGTCAGGTTAGTGTGGCCTAAGCTGGAGAGTGGGAAAGAGGGCTGGCTGGTTCCTGTTGCCAGTTCTGCCACTGCCCCACTGTGGGATTCTCTGTGCCTCGGTAGCAAGTAAGATCAGCTAGCTTGTGAGAAGGAAGGGAGGTGGGGCGGGTGGTCACGTTCTTTAGAGCTCATCTGAGCAGAAGGCAGCGCTAGGAAAGAGCAGCCTGCAAGCTGTGCTGGCACAAAGCGGCTGGCGAAGTCCATGGGGAGTTTCAGCGAAGGCTTGCCATATGTTCACGGTGTGCTCTGCTCCGTCTTTTCTTTTATTTGGTATCAGGCCAGTTTGAGAGAGCTGGAGTGTGGGGGGACGGGGTCAGTTTTACAGGTGATGACTGCAGCATTTGCCTCCTGCTTATTTTTGTCTTACCAAATTCCCTCCCCCAGCGTCTACAAACAGCCAACGGTTCGAAGAGGCTCACTTCACCTTCGCGCTAACGCCGCAGCAAGTGCAGCAGATCCTCACCTCTAGGTAAGCCCCTTCCATTTGCCTGAAGGGGCTTTTCTGCAGGTTTTTATATTCAGCTACTATCACTGCTTCCAGAACAGAGGGGAGGTCAAATTTGGGGGTAGAGGAGTGGCAGACAAGAAAGTCAGGTGAGTGGGAAGGGGAGAAAGAGCTGAAATTGGTATAAACGATTACTTTTGCTGCCCTGTTGCAGTGGAGAATATAATCCTGGGCCAGGTCCTTGGCAGCTGTCAGTGGCATAAATCCCTCGATGTCACTGTTCTTGGGCCAGTTACAGCAACTGAGGCTCTGACTCCAAGTCTGTAAAGTGGGATTTATTGTGTGCACGTGCAAAATCATACAGTAGTTTGGATAAAACTTTATAGTGGCCTGAAAATCTTCAAATCATTGGCATTGACAGTACTGTCAAGGACTTGTTTCTTTTATTGTATGCAGCAGTTGTGCACTCATTTATTTACGTCTTGTTTACTCTGTTTGCATTCTCCCACTTAGCGGTACAGGCAGTCCTCGGACTTACGACACAATTGGTTCCTGAAAACCGTGTCTTAAGTCAAAACGGTGTAACTTGGAACCAAGTTTCTCATAAGAAACAATGTTATAAATGGGGGATTGGTTCCTGAACCAAGGCCCAATACCCTATTTTCACCAAAAATACCCCAGAATTTTGTACTCGATCAATTATAGATGAGTAATATAGCTACATTAATGTATTTATATTGTAAATAGCAATCATATTGATTTGGAAGGACTTCTTTGAGGTGACTTTGCTGGACTTTTTGAAAGGCTCTTGGTTGGACTTTTTGAAGGGGTCTTGGCTGCAAGTTTTTCTGGAGTCTTGTTTGCTTTCTTAAAGAATGTGTCCAAGGAAGTTTGAACAGATGCTCTCCAGGGAGATAAGCGATGCAGCGAACTTGTTCGCTGGTGTGGCATTGCATTAGATGAAGCGTTGTAAAGTTGAAACTGATGTCATAAAGTTGAAACTGTCAATTTATAAATGTTGTAAGTGCGAAACCGTTGTAACTCGAAATGTTGTAAGTCAAGGACTGCCTGTATTTTATTTTATGTCCCTGTCTGGGAATTTTGACTCCTTTTGAGAACAGGCACATCCAAAAGCAGAATGTAGCTTTTACAGTGTGACTGCACTTGTTTGATTAATACTACTGACTGAATTATTATATGTTGGTGAATGAGGTGTTTATAGTGGTGAAACTTTAATTTTCCCATTCAGCAGTGGCAGCAATTTAAGAGATCTTTTTCTCTTGCAGAGATATGTTACCAGGTGCCAAATGTGATTACACTGTACAGGTACAGCTAAGGTAAGAAGCATAATATTGGTATGTCTCTTGGATCTTAGAAATGAATGGCTGGAAACCTTTTTTTTTTTTTTTTTTTGAGCTGATCTTTTGGCTCCAACATATTATTTTTTAATTGTGTCGTAGCATTGAGTGATCAGGAATTGCATGTCGGAGAGTTTACAGAAGCCTGAAGCTTTGGGCTTTTAGGTCAGAGCAGTTCTTTGGGTTGATATGTGACTGTCAGACCTCTTTCAGGACTGAATTGCAACCAGGATCATCAGAAGCACCCATGAGGGCTGGTCTCCTGTCTAACAGAAGCTGTAATGATTTCTGTAGCAATGGAAATAATGAGTTTTCTTCCAGATCATTGATAAAAATGTTAAATAGCATCAGGTCAGGCACTCTGCTAGAAATGCACGTGCCTGGTGACGATTCTTGATTTGCAGTTCTTCTAAAGCCTATACTTAGCCTGTTTTAAATCCTTTTAAAGTGTGCCATGCTCTGTTTCTTAATCAAAATGTTGTGCAGTACAAAGTCAGTACAGCAGCAGCATGACATTTACCACCTGACTTGTGATCGCAAAAGAAAATGCTAAATCTTGTCAAGGTATTTTTCATAAGTCCGTGTTGATTGGTGTTACATTGCTTTTCCTTGGTTTGTTAATTCAGTCCCACCTCAGCTTCTCCATTATCCTGTCTGGGATCAGCGTCAGGCCAATAAGCAATTAATCGTGTAGGTCATTCCATTTATCCAGTTTAGGTATTGGCACAACATTGCTTTCTTTCAGTTGTTCTGGTCTTACTGGAAATCAACATCAACTCTCCATAGAGCCAGGTGGAAGCATATTTGGATCTGCTGATTTTAAAATAGATAGTTAAGCAGCATCCATGTTTTAACATCCTCCTTAGTTACCATGGGGATGGAAAGTATTTAATCATCATAAGACTGTCATCTGCTTTTTCCCCTCATATACAAAACGGAAATGCTAATTGAGTGCTTCTGCATTATGATTGACAGCTATATCACTTCTAACTAGTAATGGACCAACTTTTTAGGGTGTTTTTTAATTAAACTCCCTGGGAAAGTCCTTAATGCTGGCCAGAGATTTCTCCTTGTGTTCTTTTGCTTCCCTTGTCAGTCTTCTACCGTCCTTAGCTTCTGATTTGTATTCTTCTTTTATACAGTGTTCTGGTTTTATTTTGACTCCAAGCCAGGTTTTTAAACTGTATAGCTTCTTAATTCTGGCTTTTGGGGTATCTAATAAAAAGTGATTAAGTCCTTCCCAATTATCATTCACATTTTTGTTTAATATCTGCCTCTTGACTTAGTTGGCTCCAAATTATTTTCAGCATTGCAAAGCTAGTCTGTTTAAAACCCCCAAGTATATATTGTTTGATCTTTATTCTGTTGGTCCACAATGACTGTGGTCTGTCCAAGTTCGGGTAGTTTTCCACACCCCCGCCCCTGAATTATTTTCAGGAGTTGCACTATATTCCATCAGTGCTGTCTTCTGTGTTGTTAAGTTTTCTTACTCATGTTGCAGGGAGAACACTGCCCCTCACTGGCAAGCTAGCGCAGCCATCAGAAACAAGGGTTGGATCACAGCCGTCTGTCTGGCTCCAACTTCCGCTGATGTGCTTTGGCACAAATGCCGTCTCCGGGAGAGAAAGAGAAGATTAACCCCATATTTTGTGTTTCATTTTGTTTGGCAGGCAAAGGCAAGTCAGGAAACAATAGGCTCAGATTTATTTTTCTAGAACATCGGTGGCGCGGATCGGAGTGAGAGTGACATGCTGGGGCTTGATCTCGCAGCTAACACAAAGCAGACTAAGGTCATCGTGTGACTCAGAACCGTAGGACAGGACTCTGGTTTCAATATGGGGAGTCAGCTCTCTGGCAGCGCACCCTAAATTGAAACAGAACAGCATGTGCAATCAGCTGATTAAAGGGGATTAAAGTTTGAATGAGATCCCATTCTGATTTGTGGCACTGACAGCTTTATGCCTGGGGAAGGCAACTATCAGGTATTAAGCGATGGCAGATGAGCTTTGGAAGTAGCTAAGTAATAATTACTCTCTCCTCTTGTTGCAGGTTGTACACTTGGTTAAACATAGCTCTATTTTAATTCTTTGTAAATTTATACTGAATGATTGAGATTGCTGTAGCTCCTTTCATCCTGAAGTACTGTGTAGTTTATAGGTGAAGCACCACTTGAGTGCATCTGTCTCTGGAACTGAAGGCAGGCAACCAGATGGCACAAAGCATGCCTCATCATAACACGTAGTTGTGTGAGCACTTTAATTAGGATACTAGCGTAAATGGCAGCCCTCACTCTTACCAAAGTAGCAGGCAGGGATCCCTACACAGCAGACTCCTCAGAGCTCAGTTTATCAGCCTTACAACATCCCTTGGCATGAGGCAACAAAGTTTGAACTTGTGATTCTGGCAATCGAAGGTATTTCAGACCAATCGCTGAATAACCCACTCCTATAGAGTGCACAGTGTACATGAGTAATTGGTTTTTAGCTGATATCATCTCTGTGAGTTGCATTTGGTATCAATGAAATAGCTCTCGGGAGGTGCAGAATGTACTTGTAGATGCACTCGTCACGCACGCGCATGTTTTCCAACCATTGATGTTTTCTTGGAAAATGTTCTGTCTCTCTTAATAAAAAGTTCTGGCTAACATTTTTGTGCAAATGTCACTTCTCATTTGACGGTTTCTCCCTCCTGCTTCATAGGTTTTGCTTGTGTGAAACCAGCTGTCCCCAAGAAGATTATTTCCCTCCTAATTTATTTGTCAAGGTCAATGGAAAACTCTGCCCCTTACCTGTGAGTAAAACTCATTCCTTGTTTACATGTGATGGCCCATGTTTACCGTCAGCATAGCTCCAGTTCAGCTGGGCTGATTACCTCTAAAGGTCGCCCTAAGGTGCGAATGGTGTCATACAATACAATACTGATCTCTCTTTGTCTGTCTGTGATGCGATTAGGAAGGAATGACTGACCCAGTGGCTTTGCCTGCTGAATTCTGAGCTACTTGGTTTGAACTTCAGGTCTAAAAACAGAAATACCAAAATAGCATGAGGGAAGTTTCTCCTCTCTCTTCTGGTCTAAAAAGAGAACGAACAGAAACCCTGGACTACGTTAGATTTCTGGCCAAATTGAAAAGTTCGAAGGGAAAGCCCTGTACCAAGATTTTCAAAAGCGTCTGCTTGAGTTTGGGCATCTCCTTGTTCATTGTTAAATGCAACCACGTTGGCTGATATAGGATTTGAAATTTTTGCATCCCTGCTGACAGCAAAGAAATCTGTGCATTCTTGCACTTTTAGGGTGGTTTTTGCAATGTGCTTAGCTCTTTGCAATCTTGCTGCCTTGAAATAAATGGTAAAATTGGGTGAAATCAGGTGGAAGCAGAGTTAAGCCAAAGCTGAGTGCTTTTGAATGTCTCACCCTTAGTACTCTGTGGTGTTTTAACACGGCTTGTGAAATTCTTTCAGTCAGCGGGGTTCCTTTAATTTGCATCTTTTTACAAGAAGCTGAAGGATAAATACAGAAACTGAATTCTGGGCTTGGAGGAATAATTTCCCTTGCTTTCTCGTATGGCACCACTTCTGGACTTCAGCCAGGGGTGGAGTTGAGTGTGCTGGACCTGCATAAATATGTAGAAAAAGATGGTCCTTATCCCACAATGCTCATACTCTAACTAGAACAGTGATCCTTAACCAGGGAGCTACAGCACCCTTGGATGCCTTGAGATACTTTCAGGGGTGCCACGCCGTGTTAGCACTATTAGGTGTGCAAATGTGATTCGCAAGATACCTCTTTGAAATCTCTGGATTTATCCCTAGGGTCAGAAACATTTCTGCCCTATCAAGTTCTGTGCAACAGAAGAATTGCTTTAGCGCAGGGGTGGGCAATTATTTCGGGCAGAGGGCCACTTACAGAGTTTTGGCAAGCCATCAAGGGCCGCATGACAGGCAACCTGGGGTAGATAAATATTAATTTTCTAAGTTTTTTAGGGGCCCCGTGGGCCGGATAGAATGACCTGGCATTTTGCCCACCCCTGCTCTAGCGTTTTTTCTGTAGTCAAAAAACAAGTGAAAATTAAGAGCTGGCTTTTTTTGTGGGGGGGGGCGCACAAGTCAAGTGAGAGGTGCCTCAAGTCCAAAAAAGGGTGAGAATTGCTGACTTAGACAATAGAGGGGAAAACGGTCTACAAGAAATTAAAATGACTTGTCCTGGGTCCTTCTGTCCAATGGAACCCGGGGCCCTGAATCTCCTAGCTTAATGCCATGTCAACTGGAGAAGAATGGCATTTACTAGCGTATGTGCAACTGGCACAATTCGCAGTCAGACCTGTCGAACAGCCTCTGACTGCATTGCTGTGAGTGGCTTCCCGTGCGGTGCCTATGCCACTCCTTGGATATTTTTAGTGATTCGAGGTTTTGCTCCAAATGTTCTGACTTTTGGCAAGGAGGATTAACAGCCTGCTGAAGGGGATGGCTGGCTTCTACCTTTGATGCATAGCCCTACACGAGGCTATGGATCCATGCAAGCATGATGGGTGGCTAAAGAGAAACCCTACTTGGCAGTCTTGTGGAAAGATTTTTTTTTTTGCTTTCTTCTGGCTGCGTTGTGTCTTCTTGCCGTCTGGGCTCGCCAGACCTACCCAATAGAAACCTGTTGCGCTCTCCTATTATTTAAACCAGCTGAAAGGTGCTTGAAAAATCGCAACCTAAAACTAAGCTGTAGTCTTAAGTCTGATCTAGCCAATGCCTTTGGAAGGAACTAGGGCTATATCTGTAAGAATTACAAACAAGGTTTTCTTGTGGGGAGTTACTAGCTTAGGCTGCTAATCAGGTTCGAAACTGGAACAATTAAAACAAAAATTGGACGACTGTAGAATGGATGTCACTGGTTGGGTCTCAGCAGATGGATGTCACTGGCTGTGCTTTTTCTGTTGGAGTGGATGAGATTTGATTTTTTATTGCTGTAATTTTGGCCTCTCTCTGGCTCAGAAAGGCTGCAGTATTGATAAACTTAATTACTTGTAGAAATGATCCTGCTCAGGAGTTTTAAGCACACCTTGACACTATTATATTTGTTCTGATTATAAGCTGACCCCACAAATTTAACCCCCCCCCCAACTTTTTTCTTCAAATCTGAGTCAGTAGCTTCTGATAAAGTCCTTGAATTGCTAATGCCCTACGAAACCCAACAAGATAATCAAGTAACCAAGGAAAAGATGCACTAAAGACATCAAAATAAAACTTGTGTTGGAAAAAAAAATTTGACTTGGGATTTTTATCATGTGTACAGAAATATAGCTAGCACCAAAGTCACAAGTGTCAGGTGCACGGTTTGATCTTGTGCAGTTTGATCCTTTGCAGTACTTCAGCATGATTTTTTGTTGGCTCTTTAGGAGGGAGGGGGAAAAGTCTACTTATAATCAGAATGATACAGGATAAGAATTATAGATGGAGCTGGTAGCAAGCCCTCTTGGTGTAGTTGGGTTTTTTTTAAGGAAAATTTTTCATGTTCCAGGTCAAATTAGCCAGATCAGGTCCAAATCTGTTTGAATCATCCAAGAACCATATGTGGCCCTGCTACCACAAGCATCCTCCACCCCAGCCTGGGGCTTCAGATACTTCCAAATCCCTTGGCGAACATCCTACCGCATCCTACATGCAGGCACAGAGACTTGGGGTTTGGATGCCCCCGGGTTTCGCTTGCCCTTACCTCACACTTTCCACTTTTAGGAGATTCATCTAAGCACCTTGAGAATCCCACCCCCTCCTGTTGTTGTCCAACAAGCCTTTGAAATTCTTCAGGGGGAAAATACAGCACAACCTTTCCTTTGCCCTGTGAAGTTTTCTTTAGCTGCTACCCAGTTGCATGCCGCTCTTTCCTTTCTCTTACATGACTTTCTCAAGAAAAGCATTGATACCCCACCAAGATGTTTTGAGGTCAGGCTGGAGCTGAAGCATCAAGAGCTGAGTGGCTGCAAGAGCACATCTCCTGGGAGCAGAGAGCAGATCTGTAGTGGGGAATATTCAGGCTACCCCACCACCTGGACCCAGCAGCTTCCTCTTTGGGGCACCAGTCTCTCCTGCTGCTGGCTAGTCGTGCAGCTTGAGTGGCAGTTGTAATTAGACTCTTCTTGCTGATGTGCATTGGGGCACTCTGAGGGCTTGCACTCTTCATACCTTTGTCCTTAAAAAAAAAAACAAAACCCGCCTAGGAAGTTGCCTGCAAAAAGTTCTGTTAGAAGAATGCTTCTCTGCTTGTAATGTTGATCATTTGGCAGGTAGGAGTGGTCTCGTTTAGGGACAACCTTCACTAAGACCCTTGTGCAGATACATTAGACTTGTCTTCAGTTACAGATTGTTGTGAAATTTCTCTCCAGAATCCTCATTCATTGCCCATAATGGCCACACATTGGGGCAGAACTGTATTTTGGGTGGTAGTATAAATCTGGCTGTTCTTAACCTCCTGAGGCCTTGACTTTGTAACCCAAATAACATTCCTTTAATAGCTTTCTCTGCATAACATAGAAGAAAAGAGGGTCTCTGTTCTGCATAGGTTAGAAGCTGAATAGGAGGGAGACTTTGGAATAAGCAATCAGGGCTCATGGTAGAGGTGATATCTTTTATTAGACCACCAAGATTTTTGCAAACAAAATTCTTTAATTGCAATTAAACCATGAGCCCTGATTGATTTTTGCTCTAGACCAGTACAGCTACAACCTAGATACCAGACTTTGGAATAGGCATTTTAAGGTCTGGCTGGTGTCACATGTCCTACATGGTCATGTAACTCTTGGGGATAAATGTATTTTTGCTAATTTGCACTGGGTTATGATGCATCTTTCCAGTCCCAGGAGGTCATTCAAGCAATGCTGGAGGTTCTACTTCTGCCTCTATGGAACTGCCATGCCTTACGTTGGCCTGAGTAAAAAAAGGAGTCATGGAAAAAATAGGCTTTAAAAAAAAAACTCCGTAAGGCATCATACAGTTAACAAATGGATGCTGTGAGAAATAGCCCATGCCACTTCCTGGGGTTGGGATGGGCAGGAAAACATTGCTCCAGTTTTTTGGAAGATCGTGCATAACTGAGTCCTGTTCACCATCATTCCTTCTGCTTTTCAATTCTTATCAGCGTGGGGACGGCATGTTAAGTCTGAATCACACCTTCCGTTCTTTACACCTCCAAAAACCCCCCAGCTTTTCCAAAATAAGTAACTGCTGAAAGCCTGCAAGGAAACTCGGCCAGAGCTATTTGCTTAAAAGAAAAAGGATTGGCTCAGAGATTGAAATGGCTCATGGAGTGTGAATCTCCACCCCTGTTGCACTACCAGGGTTAAATGTCTCTTGTGTTCCTGCTTGGGCTCAGGCATGATGTTGGGAATGTGCAGAGGATGTCTCATGTTGTCAAGGGATGGGGTTCACAGAGTGCTGTGCTCTAAGGAGTGAGAAGGAAGCTTGCTTGATCTCAGCTATTCCATCCCTTCCCAGGGCTACCTGCCTCCCACAAAAAATGGCGCAGAGCCAAAACGGCCGAGCCGTCCCATCAACATCACTCCTCTGGTGCGGCTGTCAGCGACTGTCCCCAATACGATTGTAGTGAACTGGTCCTCCGAGTTTGGCCGGGTAAGTGACCCCTTAAAGCCAAGGCATTGTGACAACCCCTTCTGCCTTCTAGAGCATTATCACCCCTGTATTGCACGTTGTGGCCTCAGCAAAGAGAAGGACGATTATACCTCTCCAAAACCATGGGCACCCTCTCCATAAACTAAGGGAGACTCCTCAGTAGCTATTGGCAACATAAGGCTTATGACACGCAGATAGGCGATATTAATTGTGTTAATAGAGGGGCCATGGTGTGTTACACTACCAGAGAAAACCTTGCCAGGATGCAGCGATGCGTCATTGAATCAGAATGTTTCCTATCCAAACATCCTGCTGATTTCTATAGACTTAAATTTTGTGCTGAAAAGAAACCTTGGCAAAACAACTGCTTCAGATCATTCAAATGGTAATGCTTATTGGAGCTGAGGTGTCAGAGTAGATTTAGAGCTAGCTAGAATCCTTTGCATAATCCCTATTCCCTATGACCAGATGCTGCTGCGAGCAGAAGTGCGAGGCAGTTGTCCGTATTCAGTATAATGTGTTTCTTTCTCTATACATTTTATTTTTTAAACTACGAGTGGATGTAGAAATACAGACAGAATTCCGGGTGGATCCTTCCAAATCTAAACCCCAGTTCTGGAGGGATCTCCGTTCAAGACCACATTTAGCCCAAAGTTGAAATGATTTCTTGAACCAGACCTCCAGTTAGAAAATGGTATCAGGTGACAAGGAGCAATGCCTCTCCCTGCAAGACAGGAGTGCGCACACATAAGACTTGTGTTGAAGGGGACAGCACAGAGCAGTGGTGGGGGGAGGTATTAGTATTATTAAAAAACATTGTCACTGTGCTGATAAGTAATGCACAGCAGCATGTGGCGTTTGGGAGGTTCCTGTTTGCTTGGGATTTGGGTTGCAAACCTAGAGTCACATCAGCTGCCTCTTCCACAGAACTACTCTCTGTCAGTTTACCTGGTGAAGCAGTTGACTTCAGTTACCCTGCTACAGAAGCTGAGAGCCAAGGGTATCCGCAACCCAGACCACTCCCGAGCCCTGAGTGAGTACCCGCTGCTTTAACCATCGTGTGCTCCATTGTTGACTGCATAGAGGAAACTTGAACTGTCCCAAAGTAAATGAAATAACTTCTTATAGGTCCCTCTGGAAATGGGAAACCACATACCCCATGTCGTATGTACGCAGAACCCTGTTTTTATGAAGCGAGGTAGAGGGAGGGAGGTTACAGTAGAGTTCCCTTCTCTGTAAAGTTTTAGATGATCTGCTTCATTCAAATCGTGGATACGTGTAGACACCCAACAGCAATCAGGCAGCTGGTGCGTTGTTATTGCTGCTTATTACGCTAATTAGACACTGTCACATTTTGACCATGTGTTGCTTTACACTGTCATTTCCTCCTGTTTTCTTCCCTTTGTAAGACTTTTGGGGAAAAGATTGCACTGCCTGGCATAAAGGTGCCAGGATTAGGGTCTTGAGGTACTACCGTGATATTGTAGAAATAGTTTCTGTGGTATCCGACATCACCCCCCCAAGATAAATGCTTTTCTGAGACGAGCAGAATGTTTTGTCCGCAAAGGAACAGAACCTGAAAAACATCATTAATGCACAGTAAATGATTTTTTTTTTCTTATTCAGTCAAAGAAAAATTAACAGCGGATCCTGACAGCGAGATAGCCACGACAAGCCTGCGAGTGTCCCTTATGTGCCCGGTGAGTCCCTGTTCACGTGCTTTTTATGCTTGGCCATAGAAAACCTAACTGCTTGGATACTGTAGAAAGTCCTTTCATGCTTCCCCCATTCATACAAGTTGGCTGGAAACTGTCGAGGTGGAGATGGAGGGGAGTTTATTTGTGTCTTCCATCTTCACAGCTGGGGTGCGTATAGGGCGGAAAATGGAAAAAAAAGTCTGTCCAGGGAGATGCCTCTTTTCTTCTACAATGAAGTTCCAGTCTAGATGGTACTGTCGGACCCCTGTTGGCTTGTGCATGCCAAGTGAAAGGGAATAACTGGGACATACTGGTTCCTCTCCCTGCCCTCTGGAACCTGTAGGTAATGAGCCATGTTAATGTCTTCTTTCTCCAGCTGGGGAAGATGAGGCTAATCGTGCCCTGCCGAGCTATTACTTGCACCCACCTCCAGTGCTTTGATGCAGCGCTCTATCTCCAGATGAACGAGAAGAAACCCACATGGACCTGCCCTGTGTGTGATAAGAAAGCCCCCTATGACAACCTGATCATTGATGGGTAAGCCAAGTCCTGTTTTCTGGGTAATCCTGTAACGTTGGCATAGACAGTAGGTCCCAACCCTTAAGAAAGCAGCATAAAATTGTCACTACCTGACATTCCTCAACACTGATATGCAGGGCTTACTTCAGCAGGCAAGAAGGGGCCTGTTCAGATCCTTCCCCAGTGAGGGGGATGGGGGAGATGAAGAAACCTGTTTACTAGGTTTTGAACTGAGACCTACCAGATCAGTTTAACAGAGCCCCATACATCCTCTTGGGTGGTTCTGGCCTGGGCAGGATTTGAGCAGGTAACTTAAAAGTGCAGCCTTGGGTTGGTGTATCCCATTTACCAATCCACAGAACCTAGTTCCTGAGTTATTGAGCTGTCGGTGTGGAAACAGAGGAGCCTTCTCCACGGCTGTACCATTTTATGCTCTTGCTTGTGTGCCTGTAGGCTGTTCATGGATATCCTCAATTCATGCACAGACTGTGATGAGATTCAGTTCATGGAAGATGGCTCCTGGTGTCCCATGAAGCCCAAGAAAGAGAACCAGGAGGTGTGCCAGACAGCAGCATTCAATGGGATTGACGGTATGGGACCTACCGCTGCCACCTTTCTTCATTTGGGTCTTGCTTTGCAGCTGTGCTTTTCACTGGAAAGATCCCAGTGCATTTCATGTGCCTGAAATACAATCAGTCTGGAGATCAGGGCACCTGCCACTGAAATGCAGCCACCTCTGGCAGGGAGCACGGCAGGTGCTGCATTATAGCTTATAACAGGGTTGGAAAAAGATGGGTATTTGACACTGATTGTAGAGCTAAAAGATGGATGGAACCCCCAGGGTTAGCACTTTTGCTCTGATGCTTGTTAATTTTTGTTTAAGAGCTTATACATCCATGGAGGTGGAGAGCTGTTGGCCTGGTCATGATTTGCTTTCCTCCCCCTTAGCTGACTGCATCCATATGCCTCACTTCTCTCTGCAGCCAGTGCCCTTTACACGGTGAGCACAGAGGGGAAGACCTCAGAAGGCAAGAAGAAAGTGGAGGTCATTGATCTCACACTGGACAGCTCGTCAGATGAAGACGAGCCTCCTTCTAAGAAGCAGTGCCCTGTCACCACGGTGGCTATCCCGTCCACCACAGGACCCAAGGGGTAGGAGCTCTGTACTGGTCTCTTTCTGGTGATTGTCTTGTTCTTTCCTCTGCACCCCAGAGCAGTCATATAACATGGGATACAGTACCATGCAGTGGGCTGGCCGTGTCCCCTGACCTCCCTCTGATATTGCTCCTAATACAAACTCTCCATATTCAGTGTAAAGCCCCTAGCCGAGGGCTGTGGGGGTGCATCTTTACCTGACCCCAGCCCCTTCCTGAAGTACCGACCCCTAAACAAGAAGGCTGAAGATTAGAGGGGCTGGACATTTTGGATGGAGGCAGGAGCTGCATCTTTGTTCATTGACCCAGAGGGAGGGGACTGCTGCCTGGTATACAGTGTTTTCCAGGTGTCTTTAGTGAGCGCCTGCATCGGCTGTGGGTGTATTTCACGCCCCAAATGGGCTTTCTTCACTCTGGTTTACTGGCTCTGTATTTCATTTCAGGGTGCTAAGCGTTGACCACCAGCCCTCCTCTGTCCTTCGAAGTCCTTCCATGACAGCTATCGGCAGCGACTATCTCTCCAGCCTTCCTATCCCCGAATACCATCCTTCATACCAGGTGCCATCAGAGATCCAAGGTAATGAGGGCAGCACTGGTTTCTGATAAACTCACTGAGGCAATTGTACCAGTTTACCAAGACATTGGCTGTAGCAACCTGTGCCCATGATTTCCCCTTTCTTGGGTGTGGTCTCACCCAGAAGGCATTTGGGCTGCCCTAACCCCCAAACTGGCTTGGCGTGGAGCTGCGTGAATCAGAACACGTACATTTAAATGGCAGAGTTCTCTGGCCCAACACAGAGTCAGGAAGGCAGAGCCTAGAGCACTAGTCCCCACGAGCCTGAAGTGCCAGGATTTTGGGCAAGAATCCCGAGCAGTTTTTTGGAGACTTGGGCATGAGATTGTTAATGATGCAGACAGAGTACATTGGAAGTTGATTTGGTAGTCGTGGATGACACACAAAAGCCAGTGGCTAGTGATCTTCACGACTGGGTAAGAAGGTAGGGTGTCAGGCCTAGTCATTCACTTTGTCTGGTACAATGTATACTGGAGGGACCTTTCCCAGTGCCAGAGGAGGGGAGTGGCCTATGTCTTTGTAGCACCCCCTCTGGCATGTTCTAAGGAAATAGTTTGTTGATTAAACCCCCTTTTGCCTCTCATCTGATGATCTCCATGTGCTTTGCAGGAGTGACTCACTGCAGTCCAGGGAGATAGGCATTAAATCCCCTCTTACAGCTGAAGAGATGGAGGTTGAGTGGTCCAGTGACCCTCTTAGACTGGCCAGCTAGTCCGTCACAGGCGAGCCTAGAATTCAGGTGTCCTGGTTCCCAGAGCCATCCCCTTTTTGCTGGCAAAGAGCTGATCCTTACAGGTGATGAAGTTAAATACGCTGAGACCGGTTTGGAAGATCTGTTAGCTGGTTCCTGTCAAGGCGGGGGCTGCGATTGACATGCAGAGCTGCAGGCCTGAGCTCTGGTAGCCATTAGCAAAGGCAGGTATCCATCCCCGAGGTTCAGCATAGAAATGTTTTCTCTACTCTGCAGTCCTAAGCCGTAGCGTTTGACCCTGGCTGGAGACAGCTGTGCTTCAGCAGTGCCAGTGGCCAAGTATTTATATAAAGAGAATCCTGTATATACTTGGCAAATATATTAATGTTGCCAAGCAGCAATGGGAATTGCGCCCGTTTTAAGGCACCCCGTACATTGCCGGACACGTTTAAGCGAGAACTTGGCCCTGCTCTATTGTTTCAATATCAGAGTTGTGTGATGAGGGTTCGTAGAGGAGTCTCTGTATGGTTCGTGCCTGAGGTGGATCTGGCCATAACGCAGTACCTAAGACGTAGAGGCAATTAGATCCCATTCATTTCTGCATCTAAACCTTAAGCACAATTTGGCCCCCACTTCCCACCATACGTTTATTTACCATTAAGAGATTTTTTTTTTTCCCCTTTTATTTTTCTAGGTCTGGATTTGTTTTCCTTCCTTCAGAGTGAAAATCAGGTAAGGTGTTTGTTTTGGTTTTTGGTTTCTTTTCTTTCCTCCCTGCCAAAATCTATAGACCGCCAAAAACGGCCGTGTCTTTTCTTTTCCTTTGTTTTTTGTTTTGTTTTTTGCTCACACACTCCTCTTCTTCCTCCACCTCTGCTGTAGCCACTGAGCACTGCTGTGGCTGGTATTCTTGTGGCTGCATCCAACCACCCTCCTCTTCCACAGTGCAGTCCGTGGAAAATCTTAGCACTCTTTCTCTCTGGCTTCTTGGGATTCTTGCTTCTTCTAAGCGGCATCTTATTATTAATAGCATTTCTGTTCTCAAGTTTGAAACTAGGGCCCAGAGCTGAATATGGATCACTTCCTTTAGATTCAGTTTAGCTGGAAGGTAATCTAGGCCAGGAAGACTTAGTGGAAGTATCTTTTTTTTGTTGTTGTTAACTGAGGTTGATCTGACCTGCCTGGCATCTGGTCACGCTGTCGGTGACTCGAAGCTGATGACAGAGCTAGCTAGAAAGGCTTTCCCAGCTAGGCCTCTGACTCGGAGTGTGGCTCCGTGTATGTTGGCTTCTCACACTGGTACTGTAGGCTGCTGCTTTCTCTGTGCTCCTCCTTTCCTTGCCACCTTTGCATGTCTCCTGTTCAGCCTCACGTGAGCAGGGCTGAGTCCAACCCCAAGCCGAGCAGCAGGTTATGCTGAGTGGGATGCAGCGGCACTGTTTGGGTCAGGCAAAGTCTTGGTATACTGGTACTCTCCCCCGACCCGGTCTCAGGGGTCAGTTGTCATAAGCTCTGCTTATTTCCTTGCTCCATCTCGGTCCCAGAAGCATGAAATCCGTGGCTTGGCAGTGATGTGTATTGTCCTGGCAATCTGGATGGTGCCAGAACCTAATCGTGGAAGGGGATACTTGGGAACGCACCCCTGGTCTGATGAGGCTCTCTCCCTCACCTGGCAGCATTACAGCCCTTCCGTGATCACCTCCCTGGATGAGCAGGACACCCTCAGCCATTTCTTCCAGTACCGAGGCACGTCCACCCATTTCATGAACCCCCTGGCCCCCGTGATGGCAGGATCCCACAGCGCCGTCAGCCCCGCCAGCAGCCGCATCAGCAGCATCGTCTCCACGAGCGCCATGCGGGACAGCCACGGACGAAGTGGGGCGATAAGTAGCAGCGCAGCTCTGCCAGGCTGCCGCTCAGACATCATTTCCTTAGACTGACCCACTCCTGGTGCTGTTTGGTGCATTGTTCTCCCTCTACCTGGGGACGGGAGACCAAGGCACGTCTGCTCTCTTGAGCGGGTGCTCGGCTGGGACTGGAAGGACCCAACCAGTAACAACTGGGTTAAATTTCCTTCTTGATCGAGACAACCCTCCCTTCACAGCCAGCTCCATGGTGACTTCCAGCCGTACCTCCAGGAATCCTCATTTTCCAAGGGTTCAGTATCAACCCCTCACCTCCCAGATGTGTTTTTGTAGGGTTCTGGGGCCGCTGTGTGCAAACACCACCACCCCTGTGGCCAGTAGGTGCACAGCAGTCATTTCCCCGGGCCTTTCCTCCCTGTGTGAATGTCTCCTCCTTCCCTTGCACCAGGCCCCATGCAGTGGTAGCCATCATTGCCCTGCTGGAGGGGATTGCAGAGAAGAGCTGGTAGAGAGGTGAGGAGGGCCAGTGGCTTTCCAGCACAACGCCCCCACACTCCACCCACAA